AAGTTGAACTTAATTTTAATTTGAGTGCCACGTTTTTAGAACGCACTGTCATGTGCGAGACACAGCAAAAGAGCCGTGAGCGCAACCGTCAAACACGTCTGTCTAGTGGTCACAGAACAGCATTTCTATGGAAAAGCAACGCAGTGGAATGCAAAAACGTGTGTTCGAACGGCACGACATTCTAAAAAGTTCAACTTTTAAAAAGCGTGTAGCCGAACCTTGCAATTTTTTCATTCCACCACTTTGCATCTCGAGTTTTTAACACCCTATGGAGCCGTTCACATGGAACGCATTTTTGCACTCTTCAGCTTTTCCATTGCTTGCATGTAGATATGCGCTAGAATGATGTGTTTGACCGTTGCGTTCACTTCTTGCGTGTCGTCGTGCATAACATGATATTCTAAAAATGTGCTGCTCAAGTTAAAAGCAGTTCAGTTGTTAGGGGCATTTAAAAATGAGACGCGGGGCAGTGAAAAAAGTTTTTTTCAAAGATGAACTTTTAACTTGATCACTGTATTTTTTTAATGCTGAGCGTAATGTTCAAACATATCTGTAGTTTGCAAACACCATTTATTGATTTAAGCAGAAACAATAATCTCATTAAAGGAGTGATTACAATAGCAAATTTGGCGGTGGTGCATGGTTATTCAGAGTTGGCGCCATCTGAAGTCCTGGCAGGGGTTGGCGCTCTTTCTTCACAGGTGTTGGGCCATCTAAATCTTCGTAAGAGGCTGGATCCAAGCTGGAGCTGGGGTAATACTCTAGTTACCTCAGGATGGGCATCCCGAGGTAGAAAAGAGAAAAGCAAATGGAAAATAATTAGCGTATATGCTTTTCATAACATTCAAGCAAAAGAGAATTTAAACTGGGAGAGTGAGTCTGAGCCCCAAACATTATTAGGAAGGCTGTTCCAGAGTTTAAAAGCCAAATGTGAAAACGCTCTCCCTCCTTTAGTGGACTTGGATATTCCAGGTACTACCAAAAGTCCAGAGCGTGATGGATAGTAGGGCGATAGAAGATCAGTTAAATACACAGGAGCTGAACCCTTTAGGGCCTTAGAGGTCAGTAGCAATACTTTGTAATTGATACGGAACTTAATAGGTTACCAGTGTAGAGATGATGGATCATATTTTCTTGACCTGATAAGAACTCTAGCAGCTCAGTTTTTAGGAATAACTGTAGTTTGTTTATTGAGGATGCAAGGACATGAATGCATGAACTAGCTTTTCAGAAACAGATACATGTTCTGTAGCTTAGCGATGCTTCTGAGGTGAATGAAGGCTGTGTTTGTAACATATGAAATATGGCTTTTTTTCAAATATGACTTTTAACTTGAGCGCATCTGCCTAGTGCAGGTTTATATAGAAAAACAATGGAAAAGCAGCACAGAGGAATGCAAAAATTCTGCTGGTTATTTATGCGTCTTCCGTTTGTTTGCTGAGCCTTTATCAGTATTTCTAGACATTTAAATTCATATTTCTTCAGTTCTAATATATGATTCGCTAGGCAACTTATTCAGTTATCTATTCAAGTTTTAGGTTATGAGTTCCAAACGTACTGTGACAGGGTTGAAAAAATCTGAATATTGTGGTGATAACCTAATTTTTTATTTTATTTAGGGAATTATTCTTTGAATTTTCTGGCATAAATGGCACTGTTTCTTGGGAATGACCCACTGTGTAGAACTTCAGGGAAAATAAAGCTTCTTTCTTTTGTAGTGTGTTCTTCCTGGGTGCGATGCTGGTCATCACTGCTACGTTTCTCTACGGGTATGAGAGAACCCCAGACCGGGGCAACCCCAATAAAGTATAGAAGACTGGACAGGAAGTGATGAATGACATCCGGAGCGTCTGCTAAGATGCTCTGCTTCAGGTGAAGTTCAGGACAAGAGAACCAGTGATATTTTAAGGATGCTATTACAAGGTAGCACAAAAAAAAAAAGAAGTGATCCTAAGATTACAACCATCCAGAACTTGAATTGTCCTCTGTGCCCCATGTCATTTCATCATAACAACACACAGAACCAAAAATGGAGAGCTACGATGAGACATTGTTACACTCAGCTGAGGATGTTTAAGGACTTTGTTTAAAATGTGTTTACATATAATGAGAGATCTCTGTGACAGAGCTTCACAAATTCCACACGTTACAGTTTGCATATTTATTTTGTGTGCCATACACTGGTATATTGGAAACGGGACTGTTTTACTTGAATGTATCCGTTGAGAAATATCATTTTCTAAAGCCAATAAAAAGGTGTTTCTTAAAATGTCTTCCTGCCATGTTCAGTCTCAATAGTTTAACCAGCGGTAGCACTGACCGCGTTTTGATTGGTGGAATGATCCGGGCATTGTGGGAAATGCTGAGCTGGTGCTTAAGAGATCAGACTCTTGTGAGATGCTCAGTGCACTTTTATTAGTCCTTGAATGAACAATGTGAACTGTCAGACCTTGATGCTCTTTGCTGGGGGTTTCGATGGAAATATATATGTTGCATCACAGTTTGTTTTATGCAAAAACGACTTGCATGCAAGAAGAGAGGTGAAAAATCACTCCTCCGCCCCCCCTCAAGTGGGTCTTTCTTGCCCATAATGCAATGCTATGAAACGTTTCCACAGTAAACTTAGTCTCGTCCATTGCATAGACTCGTTTTGCAGTGGGAAAGCATGTGGATGTCAACAACCACTTTTGTTCTTCCTCATTTCGGCACATCCTGTTTTATGAAACGCTGAAATCTTGAAGTAAAAACCACTTATTTGCTGCTGGTGTTCATGCATTTTCAGATACTAGGTTCATACGTTTGAATGTCTCTTTATTTAGATGATCATCTTGAGGAGGAATATGGCTTTGACAGAGATACAGAAGATGTAACTGAGAAATGATAGAGGGAGATGAGGTGAGGTATTTATCATATTACAGAGAAGGAACCCCATATGATCTGCTCGACCTTCATCTAGATCAGTGCTCCAAGCTTTAGACGTACTGCATGCATCTCCACTTCCAACGAAAGACTATCGTTTCCTTTGAAAGTGATTTAGGCGAAGAATAAATGCTCGGTTAGATTCAAGAGTTAGTCATTATTTTTAGTTATATGTCCAGACTGGATATCACCTCTTCATATCAAATTCAGTGCATAATAAAACAATGCAATTCATTAAATTAAAAGCATGCAAATAATGAATAAATCTATCGAGTCATTTATATGTAGTAAATTTAGTAAACAGACTCTCATGAAAGCAACAGCCACACACTTATACTGTCTTTATGTTGGTTGGTTGGTGCCTCTAGGGAAAGATGACTAAACTTACGGTTCAAAAAACTATTTTTCATATTTCCTCACTCTGTAAACATCCGACTATATCAACCGCTAGCTTTATATAAATCTTTACTTAAATATTAATTTGCATTGCGTGCCAAGACCGCAATGTATTTATTTTGGTTATTGTATCTTTACTGGTATTTAAACAGCCCTGTGTATAATTTGTGTGACACATGCTACTTTATTAGCAAAAGCATGATTTTGGAAATCTAAAAACTGTAGCAAGGAGGGATTTAGTTTTCATAAAAACTAAGTGATTGTGCCATCCTAATCAAAAGCAACCCATTTCACCCTTTTGTTAGTTATATTGGCTATATGCCGCATTTAAAAGGGATAGTTCAGCCAAAAATGTTAATTGCCGTTATTCACTCAACCTCATGTTGTTACAAACTTCTATGACTTTCTTTTTTTTTTCCTGTAGGACACAAAAGAAAATATTTCGAAGAATGTATGTGGTTTCTTTTTGTACATGAAATGAAAGCCAAGGGGGTCCTCCAATGTTGTTTTGAACCCTGTTGACTTTAATTGTACGGACAAAAACAGTTTTTAAATTATCTTTATTTTGTGCTCTACAGAAGAATGAAAGTCATACAGGATTGGAATGACATAAGGCTCAGTAAATAACAAAGGATTTTTTTTTTTTATCCTTTGACATTTGTAATGATCATATTTACCCAAGGAGTGTCAGTAGGAGAGGACGGTGTGAGACAGCTTGAGAATAGAGAGAGGGAGACAGGGGACGTGGAATGGCACAGATGGAGTGTGTATGACATGTGACTAATCTGGTGAGTGCCTATGGTGCAGCACCCACTGTGTAAACTCAAACGGACTCATAAACAAACTCCTATCGATGTGTCTGACTGTATCTGAGTGTATCCTTGACATTACTAGATACACTCCACCTCAACTGGTGGATGTCTTCATGCACTCTGCGGCCTATTTTGTCTTACAGCATGTAAAAGATATTTGCTAGCATTTGAAAAATGAAGTCACAAGTCTCAATCAACTGATCAAAAGTTTCAAAGAGTTTTGCTGGTTGTCCTACAAAGAAAAAGTGTTTCCTGCAATGACCTCCCTTGGTTCTTGTGATGCCACTTTGTGTGGTATGGGACCAAACATTCAATCTCTTTCATGCATTATATTCCATCCGTCCTGAATGTTTAGGGCCCTGTTGCAAAACCCCCTTAACTTAAGACGCTTAGTAATAATTGTAAAGATGTTATAACTAAGGGTTTTCCTAAAGGGATAGTTCACTGAAAAATGAAAATTCTGTCATCATTTTCTCACCTTCATATCGTTACAAACCTGTTTGACTTTCCTCTGTGGAACACAAAGATATTTGCAAGAATGTGTTCAGCTGTTCTTGCCCAAATTTCGATTTCAAGTCATTACATTTGGTCACATGACGTGCAAGAACCAATGAGGTTTGACGTTTGCCTCGCGGGATTGCCATTTCCGGCATGGGAGGCGGGCATGCTAACAAGGATGCTAAAGACTACAGCCTCTAGCATCAGTCGCTAGTGCACTTCTTGAGACCAGGGGAGTGAGGTTTACACGCACAACTCCTACTAGCTGGCCTCCATTACATACCGTATGTATGCATGTGTTGATCAATGATTCGCTTTTAGAGTGAATAAAGGCTTATATTTTCATTAAAGTGATCATGTTGCTCCAGAAGACTTGAAATATATCAGTCGAGTTGTACTGATTAATTTTATGGTACATTTAGGTCTTATTTTGAGAGGTCCTACATTTTGGACCCCATTGACTTTCATTTTATGGACAAAAACAGCTAGAACGTTTTTCAAAACATCTTCTTTTGTGTTCCGCAGAAGAAAGAAAAGTTTGTAACGACATGAGGGATGGTACATTTTGGGGTGAACTATTCCTTAAACAAGTGGCTGCTCATTTAGTGCTAGTTACTTCCAGTCATTTGAAAACCGACCAAGTACTTTGAAGTTGAAAGGTAGTCAAACTTTTCCTTTCTCGACATTCTAGTTCAGCGGAATTGAGAAACCCTACAAACTGGTAATCCACAGAGCAGCTTGCGATTTCCCAAAATCCAGTGTCCAAACAGTGCATGCAGTCTTCAGTGTTCTTTAGGCTCTGTTAAGACAACTCTATTTGGGTGGTATAACCACCAGAGGTTGTCCCCTCCTAGGCCTCCACATCAGCACCTGGGCATCGTTGGCATTGGGCCTGCCCAGCGCGTTGGGCGGGATAGGCTCATTGTTACTGAGAATGTGCGGCTGTTCCTGGTGCGGTCGTCCCATCAGTTTGGCACGAGAACCAAGCGGCATGGAAGGATCCACCTCAATGTCTACCCGCATACGCCAGCGTACTGTCTGAAGAACAATGCGCTCTTTGGTGTCTGCGTTTAGCGCCACCAGCCAGGTGATGAAGCTCTGGTCTCGGGTGATGTGTGTGAGCATGGGCGTGTTGCTGTTGCTGATTGGCACCGCCCAAGTCACACTGGGGTAGAAGTTGTCATTCATGCTCACCGTTAGCCGGGACGGCTTGGACGTGGGGCCTGAGAGGGTCACTGTTTCGGTAGTGTTACCATACCAGGGATAACTGACGCCGTCAGAATCGCTTATGGCCTTTACCCGTCCTTCCCGAAGCTCGGGTAATTCCCAGCTGGACCTGTGGAAGGAAAAGAAGATGAGCGGTCAGAAAGGACAAAAGAGCGGCAGTTCCTTAATACATCAAACGGGTGAAGAGGGTAAGTAAATAGAGATGGTGAAGGTGGGTGAGAGGACCTGCTCAGTACAAAGTGCCTCATACAAATATGGAAAAACAGTGATTAAAAGACAGGGCTGTGAATGAAATATTCATGAATGTGTTTTTTCTCTCAGTTAGACAACCCACTTATTTTAATTATCTCTTCTCAGCTTCTATCCTACTCTGATGGTCTCCTTTTGTTGCCCTGGATTTTTGGGTTAGGTTTAGGGCTGGGCTTGGGGCTTAAAATCCATAACTTCTCTCAGATTTTATTTACAGTGTTAGGACAATGTTAGGACCAACAAACTATCCATGGACACATCCTACTTGGCAAAATCATTTCCAATATGCAAAAATTCTGAGTTGAAGAATTGGAAGTGAAAGTCGTGAGTGGAATGACAGGAAGAGCAACTTCCTCAATTGCAATTCGAAGAAATTCAATTTAGGAAATACATTACGGGTTATGAATTCTCAGTAAGACCTAAATCTTCACACTTTAAAGCTTTAAAAACTTGTTCAGAACTTTGAAAGAAGGCTTTCTCAAGCCAAACATTTAAAGTTTATCGTTCAGTGTAAAAATACAGTGGAAATCTCTTTGAATTGCCGTTCATTTTACTTATTTGCATACAAATTCGAATTGCAACTGCATCCTGTTTGCTAGCTACTTTAATTAAAATCCAGGAGTTGAATGGGAGTTTTGAAAGCATTCTCAGTTCAATTCTAAATGGTACACAACACTACAATAAATATTACATACTAAGAAAAGATTCTATAAAGTTTTAGATGTCAAATTGCACAACATGATACTCACTTATTTGTCGACCACTGATGACCACAAACTCAACAGAACGACCAATAAAACATACTGACACTTGAGCAGCTTGTCGTTGTTTGTTTGGATTATTGATTACTCACATGCCAATATCACCATATGTATTGAAGAACTCCATTTGGGTGCACGCCTGAATCCAGCCCACAGTCCATGTTTCGTTTCTAGGAACCGGGGGCATCACGATCCCAGCCGATGCTCTGAAGTATGGGGTCTTGTATCGCAGGACAATGGGCGAATTCTCCTCAATGATGGTCGGGCATTGGTCAATGGAGGCTGAGACCTCATAGACCACTATGTTCTCCCGTCGGATGCGGGGCTTGCAGGCGATGCTTTGAATGCAACCCATGGTCCTGCTTATTAGGGGTGTCAATGTGGCCACTGACGAAAAAAGGAGGATATGTTTAAGCAATAGTATATTCATTGGCACTTTTTGCAACCCTTGAAACGCTGACAGTTCCTCGTCTTCATTTCCAACTCAATATATCCTCGATAAATCCTCTGGGTGAAAGCAATAAAAAGCATGTCTGCTATGAAAAAGACATGTTTTGTTTCATTCCAGAGTCCCCGTGTGTTGTTCTAGCACATCTTTGAGACAGATGGAGATGTGTAACGGGAACACAGCGGTGTTGGGAAACTACGGGTGTGTGGATGATCCGTGTCGCCTGTTTCTGAGGCGCTGGAGTGCCGCACTGCCCTTGATGCTCGTCCCCAGCAGATGTGATCCGGCCTCCACCGAATCGGACACCCGGTGTGCGCCTGTTTCTCGTCCTCCTTCCAATTCACGCGTCCGGCTGTATCTCTGAGCCCTTTGGTCCTGGTTTTTCTGCTAGGCGCGGGCATGTCAGTGCTGAAGAGGGAGCCGGTGCTGCATAGAGAGTGTATGTTTGTTATTTTTCCTCCAGGTGAACGACCTACCCAACATTTCGTTGATGCGGATCCGTTTGAAAAGGGAGAAGCGACACACAGACGGATCCAACCAAGGCAGGATTCAGTGCATCTGATTTAGGCTACAATGCAAACTTGGGTCACCTTTACAAATGCAGTGCCTGTCATGGGCATCACTGGACTGATTTTGTTTTTTTCCTTTGTGTGTTTCCATCCCTTACATCCATAGCGAAGACACCCTGTGCAAATCTTTGGAGAACACAAAGATAATGATAATAATAATAATGATAAAAAACACAGCGAATGCAATCGCCCAGCAACATTATATAGCGCAGGGATTTTTAAATATATTCCTCCAATGGAAAACAGCAGAGCATCTTATAACAGACATGTGCTTATATGGTCGCTGTTCAGTTGCAGTGAGGTGCTGATCAGTGTTGCCAGATTGCGCAAGAAAAACATGTAAAAACCTGCTCTGGTGGTTTACATAAAACCTAGAATAAGCATGGCTAAATTGCAAATTATTGTTTGGTAATAATAATAACAAGAAGAAGAAGAACAAACAAACAAGTACAATCTAAATAAACTAACAATTAGCTATCTCTTTCGTGGGCTGTTAAATATTCACCTTAAAGTCCCCATGAAATCAAAATGGAAGTTTTTTGGCTTTTAGCATGAATATGCTAGCCTTTCTGTTATTAAGCTAGAGTGCTCCAAAACAATGATACAATTCGCATTTAGACGATACAAGCATTCAAAACTTACAGTCTCTCACTTCCACCAATATAGATCAATGATTTTATTGACATCACTCTGCACTTCAGCTTCTCATCAGATTTTCTGTCCAATCAAATCGATATAGTCCCGCCCCCTATAGACACTGAAGCTGCCCTAAAATCAGTCACTTGTTCGCACATGTTGGCACATAGTGCACTATATAGGGCTTAGGGAACGATTCAGGTTATTTTCATCGGAGCGAATGAAGTCTGGTTTCACATTAGTGTCACGAACCACTGCAGGCCTCACACAGTCTGCCCCGGCCCAGAGACACGACAGCACAGAGCGGATCATACACTCGAGTCAGCACAGACCAGAAAACGTATTTGAATTCTACAGAGAATGCTATTTGAAAGCATATGGAGGAGTTTAGGAGGAGAAATGGTTGATTAAGACGAAACTGCATCTTTGCTGAGCTGTGAGAAACACTAATGGTACATTTTTAAAAAGGGGAAGAGCTGTTCGATATGCCCCTTCCTGTTTCAGTGGAAATTACATCAACACATTGAATAATGCTGTCCGTTTCATCAAGGCACTTCAGTGGGCCTTTAACACAGGCTAAACAATACTAAAGACATTTTTTTTCTTTTTGTTATAGCCAACAAACAAGTTTAACTGGTTAAAAGATGTAAATAGTAAAATAAAAAATTGCCAGAAGTAGGCCTAGGGTCTAGGCTATAATATATATATATATATATATATATATATATATATATATATATATATATATATATATATATATATATATATATATATATATATATATATATATATATATATATATATATATATTTTTTTTTTTAAATGTTGCTTTACACGTGTGTGCCAATAGGCCTAGCCTACATTTTTTTTAAAATTATATTTAATAACATTACGTTGTGTAGTGTCTAGACAAACTTTTTGTTAGAAAAGGCGAAAACAGTGAATGAGCAAGTGTAGTTGGTCACTCTTAATTGTGCTATAATGAGGATAAACCATCAGCAAACCTAAAGTAGCCTACTGGAATATATTCTGGAAAAAAAGGCCAAACCCATGGAATTGTTATATTTATATAAGCAACTTTAAAAGAATAAAAACAAACACGGTGCGCTTGAGGCTATAACAAGCAGACGTGGCAACCCTGGTGCTGATGCTGGTGCGCGAACCCCGGGCGAAGGAGGGGTGCGCGTTCTGGAGAGCTTTCAGAGCTATGGGCGTCGTTAAAGTGACGTATGTGACTCGTCTGCTCTCTGATTGGTCGGACACGTGTACGGCGGAAGTGGAATCTGCCCGGCGCACTTCCTTGACACGCATCAACCGGTCATTCAACCAGCTCTCTACCCGACTCTTAGGGGTCGATGGTCATTCATTGAGTGCAACTATCGCTTATCAGGACAGTTTATGATTGTGGGCTTGCTGCACAGGCTATCGGGGAAGTTTCCACGCGTTGTGCACAGGATTAGTGTGATGATGAAGCCGCAGGTTGTGTTTGTTTTGGGCGGGCCTGGCGCGGGGAAAGGGACACAATGCGCGAGAATCGTGGAGGTAAGAGAGATGCAACGCATTACGGCATTTATCATAACGTTATATTAGCTGAGAAGAATTATTCAAGAGCTCTATATAAGGCAACGAGGCTTTATGGGACTTGTAGTGTGTTGATGTGTTCAGGTTTGCTGCACCTTACATGGATTGTTCATTTCCGCATGTCCTCTAAGACATTTCATTAGGAAAATGCACATTTTCAATGCTATTTGGTCCCATTTACAGTCCTACTTCAGTTTATCTGACATGATAGCATAATTACTTTGATGGAACGATAATTCTTTCTCTTTGTATACTTGACCTTCATTAAAGCTCAAAGTGTGACAAACCAATCATAGCAGTTTCTTCCAGTGTTTCATATAAAAAAAATATGTTATGTTAATGTAAAATATATTAACACACGTGAAGCAAGATAAAAAAAAAAAAGGTTTTGTGCTAGCCTGCTCTGGCAACCTACTACTTGGATAATTTACCAGTTACACTTTGAAAACAGTTTTATATATGTTTAGGGCAGTTGACGTATAATACGTCCATGCACGGTTATGTTCAATATATATAAATAGGAAATTAATGTACCATATTTTAGTCCGATGATGTTTTTTTATTTAATATTTTGTATATTGGGGGATTTTATGGTAGCCTACTTCATTATATTTACGCTGTAGTCATAATCCATTTATTCAATTTTTGAGCATAGACCTGAAAATTTAAACTTGTAAATCTTGAATGCTTTTAGAGCATTTGATCTCTTTTCAAAGATGACACTTGGCAGATTATTGCTGAAGTGTAAAAATTTTAAGAAATTTAATTAAAAAAAAGTTACAGAATTTTATGTGTATTGTTATAATAAAATGCACAAAAATGCTCTTTTCAGTTTTTATATGAAATGCATTTTTTCAAACACTTGTTTTACTCTAAAACTGCACACACAAAAATCGAAGCCATAAATCTTTTTTAAAGATATCGAGTGTGTGCATCGAGTGCTATTAAAAACCCTCTCTGTGAGCCATATGGCATCTAATCCAGGTTCTTAAATGAGTCTTTTGTATGCTTATGATTTGTCTACACATACAGCAGCCAAACGTTTGGACGCACGTTGTCACATGATTGAGGTTTTGGAATATCAGGACTGCTTTTGCTACAAAGCCTGTCTGTTCGCTTACCAAGCCCACTTTTTCTCTCTCCATTCATATAGATGACAAGCTGTCATTATCCATGATAAAAAGCTTATAATCTTCTGGGGTGCATTAACCATGATGTGCTGCATTGAAGTTCCTAACGTGTGATGTTTTTGTGTAACCCGCTGCGCTCAGAACTACAGCTACACTCACCTGTCTGCCGGAGACCTCCTGAGAGAGGAGCGCAGCCGCACGGGCTCAGAGTTCGGTCAGCTCATTGAGAGCTACATCAAAGAGGGCAAGATCGTTCCCGTCGAAATCACCATCGACTTACTGAGAAAGGTGGTGACTTGTTACACCTGTCTGTCCTGTCTTACAAGCCTATGCAGTCCAGTCAGGGTGACTGTAGAAGGGAGCTGGAACATTAGAGTTTGACATTTTCAAGCAGTTAGAAATATTAACGAGGGTGAACTTGATAACAAATGTGTGTAGTTTCATTATCAGTGGAGGAGAGTTCAAAGAGCGGTTTATTATAGGTATAAATGCTCAGGCTTAAGAGGCATAAATCATAACTCTGACGATACCATTACAAAACGGCCACGCGTCTTTATAACAAAGTTCTAATTCTGACTCCCCTTTTGTGAGTTGAGTTGCAGATTATTAGACTATCTTAGATTTCAGATATTTGTCTTCTCTGAAAATCTTTTTTTCAGTTTTTGGTTACACTTTATTTTAAGGTGTCCTTGTTACAGTGTAATTATACATTAACCCCTTCGCTGTCACCCCCCTTTTTGAGAATGGGGGTTAAAATGCACTATTCAAACTTAAATGGTTGTTATTCAAGAATGCTTTGGGATATAGACCTAAGTTTGGTCTTGTTTTAAAGGAAACACTCAGCAGATTATTGCTGAAGTGAAAACACTTCAAAAAATGAAAGTATGAAAAAGTTATGAAAGTTTAAATTTACAGTAAATTAAATATACTGTACTATTTTACAAAATATTTTTTACTATAAAATCAAAGCTATATATCTAACCAAGTAGTGTTCCAAATTTGAAGTTGATGTCACAAAAATTGAAGTTCCCATGAGATTTTGTTTAGGCGTAATACCAAAAATAGCCACCGGGAGACATACATTCCATTGAATTTAGTTGTATACATTCTGCCTTAACAAATTAATAAATTTCTGTACCAAATATCAATTCTGTCACAAAATTTGGAACCTTGAGACTTAGACCTTTCTGACAATATGTGTTTTGTCAAGATTAGAAAAGGTTTTGATCATAAATTATGAAATATAATGATGCCCAAAAGGGGAGGAGCCTGATAAAATAATTTAGAGTACCGTTTCTATGGTAACGCAACGTTCAATTTCACGGATGTTTTCACAGGATGAATTCTGAGTTTGTAAGCTTTCAAATGATACCCAATTTATGATAACTACTAAAATATGTGATGTAATAAAAAAAGGCGATAAAAAAATATATTATTATATTTTAGAGGATACTATATATATTGTACTTTTTAGAGGATAATATTATATTATAATTTTTTTTATTGAAAAATACTAGATTATATGTTTTATTATGAACTTTTAGCATGAAAACCAAAGTTTCAATTATTAAAGGTGTGTGCGTCAACTTTTTGTGACAAAGGTCAGAACTCCTGTTATGATGCAGATTTTTTTTAGGTGCACTCTTGGCAAATATTCATCGGTTACTCTTCCTACATAATGTGTAGCAAAAAACAGCAGTCAAATATCTATTTAGGAGTCTTAGACCTTTCCAACCATATATAGTTTGTCATAATTAGATTAGGATTTAATAGTAATATAGCGAAGTAAAGTTAGGCGTCCCGTATACGTGACGGTGACAGTTAATGTACTTAGTATGTACATGCAGAACAGGACTGTAAAATAAAGTGCTAGCGGGTTTAGGCTTAGGTGCATGTGATTATGCATTATTTACTGTTATTACTACAGTAAGTACATGTAACAAGGACACAAATAAAGTGAATAAATATCTGTATTTGTCAGGCAATGGAACAGACTATGAAAGTTGATGAGAAGAAGTTTCGCTTTCTTATTGACGGTTTTCCACGTAACCAAGACAACCTACAGGGGTGGACCAGTGTCATGGACGGGAAGGCAGATGTCAAGTTTGTTCTTTTCTTTGACTGCGGTAATGAGGTGAGGAGTAACATACGTTTCAGGGTGTTTCTGATTTATTTATTTATTGTTCTACCATTAAAACAGCATCGAATTAGATGTGTCATTTTGAATGAACTTTGACATGGTTATGGAAAAACTCTTCTAAAATAAAATGTAGTAACTTTATTGATTTTTTTTTTTTATGAATGTCATCTAAACAAAAACATGGAATGTCATTTCAGCTGGTTGTGTATTTCAGGTGTGCATTGATAGATGTTTAGAGCGGGGGAAGAGCAGCGGACGCTCTGATGATAACAGAGAAAGTCTAGAGAAGAGGTACTTCCTCTCTATAATAACACTAATAAATATCAAATATATTGACAAATTAGCATCGTGTTTGTAAAATGTGTCTCTCACCATAGTTATATTGGCATTATATGGGAATGGAAGGACTAATGTTTCCCTGTTTACAGCGACTTTGGGTTACGCTTTTCATTTGCTTGAACTTTTCCTAACAAATTCTCGTTCAATTGTCAGGATCCAGACGTACCTCCAGTCCACACGGCCCATTATAGAGCAGTACGAGAAGCAAGGGAAGGTGCGCACGATTGATGCCTCCCGGTCAGTGGATGAGGTATGACTGATCTTTTTCTCTTTTCTTTGAGCCTTCTCTTTGAATTTTTAGGGGGAGTTTTGCGATAAAGGTGAACCAAATACAAGTTATTTTTATTAAAGTGCCCCCTATTATGATTTTTTCCGAAAATTCCCTTCATGCAGTGTGTGATATAGCTCTTTGTGATTGTAAATTCTCTGCTAAGTTGTAAAGTCGGAAGTGCACAATAAATAAAGTTATTGGGTCTCATTCATGAAACACGAGCAGAACTAATTTTTGTGTAAATCGTGTGTAAAGTGGTTCTGGCGTAAATTTTCGGATTCATTAAAATGTTCGTATTTTCCAAATGTTAGTTGGTACACAAGAAATCTACACCTGCTCCCAGCCACGCGTAAATAGTGCGCTTAACACCCGAACGTTTTGCTCATTAATAAGGCTGCATTTTAATTCACCTTAATCGGGTACATATTTGCACAGCATTTTGAAAAAATATTATATATAGTAATTACATACGGTTTTTCTTATTATGAGAGCCAGTAATAGCATCTGCGATGGTGGTCCTTCTCCAGTTTGAATACTATTTTTCCGAAGTGAACTAATTCGTTTTTTGCTCTCAAGCTTAATGTCGAACCATTTTCTTCTCACTTCTGGGAATGTTCGATTAACAGATGAAACTCCATTAACTGCATCTGTAATATGCTGCCAAGCTTCCTTTTTTTTAGCACCCGATACGCCACTATGTACGCTTGAAAATAAAATGTGGCGTTTTGAATGAACTTCTGATAATAAAACTTCAATTTCTGCATCTGAGAATTATTATTTTTTTCATTCGCATTCATGTCATAATATGATGCTCCTATATAGTTGTCAGTCGGATTTAATGGGCGGGATTTATGGTAATTGAGAATGAACGTGCACGCGCATCCCATTTACGACTGATTGGAATTCATTAACACACACACACACATTTCACTATCACATCTGACGTTTACGAAGTATTTGTGAATCAGGAGAAGAGTTTTCGGGAAGGTCTCTTTACGCGCAAATCACTCGCATATTTACTCGTATATTTACGAATGTTTCATGAATGAGACCCATTGTCTCCCTAAAGAAAGAACCGCCTAAACGAGTCGTCTACGTCAATAGATAAGACATTGGCATAATGCCCGCCTATGTTATATGTTGTCTGCCCGCGAACAACCTTTTAAGTATTAATAATTATTGATGTATATATTTTCTGCCAGGTGTTTTAAAATAAGTAGTTTTGTGTTTTATATTGTGTATGTTTCCGGCTAACTCATGTATTACTGTCTTACTGAAATACTTACTGAAATTATTACTGTCTACTATTACCACTATTACCTAAAACTGTGTCTATTTATACAGATTTTCACTTCTATGAGATAACAAGATGTAAACAAGATGTAAAGATAAAGGATGGAGCAAGATTTGTTTTGCAAACTTTAATGTTACATCAGTCATTCACGTTAGTGCTGGGCGAACATATTGTTATTGATACAGTTTCCGTATGTGCACTGCAATAAATTATAAATATACACATCATACATACACATGTTGATGGTGTGGAATTACAGTTGAAACATCTCATAATGTTTGTCAAACTGAGAAGTGTATCACTGAAAAACGTCCTGCTCGAGTCGTCTTTGCGATGGAGGTTCTGGTTGAATAACTATTTCTTCCAATGTTTCATCATCGGACTCGCGCTCGGATTAATATTGTAAAATCGGCGGCGTCTTTACTGTGTGTACAATCCCTGAGGACTGAGGAATCATCTGGACAGAGCTGAAGTTTATGGTAATAATTACTAATGAGTGTTGTGTCCGACGTTCGCTGTAAGCGGGAGACCAATCACAGACTGGGTCATCTGGCCAATCAGAGCAGAGTAGACTCGCAGAAAGGAGGGATTTAGAGAATCATTGATTTGAGAATGATTGAAAAACGTGATGTGCAATGTATAGTATGAGAAAAGTCTGTTGTGATTGGTCTACCGCCTACAGCGCTTTCGGAAACTAAACCCCTATTACCATCTCTGAGTCTGAATATCAGCTCCAGACTAGGGCTGCAACTAACGATTATTTTGATAATCGATTAATCGGACGATTATTTTTTCGATTAATCGGATAAAAAATCAATTAGATTTTTTGTTTATTATGACTAAAAAAAAACCGGTTACACTTTATTTTAAGGTGTCCTTGTTACAGTGTAATTATATATTTAAGTACAGAGTAATATTAAGTAACTACATGTACTTACTATAGGAATAGGGTAGGATTAGTTTGAGGGTTAGTTGCATGTAATTATGCATAATTTACTGTTATTACTACAGTAAGTACATGTAACATATGTAACAAGGACACCGTAAAATAAAATGTTATCTAAAACCCTAAATTAGGATATTTATGTGTAAAAGTGTACTTTAAAAAGTGCAAAAGCCACACATTGAGTTTTACAAATATCAATATTTGCATTGTTTTTAATGATAATTGCTGATGGCAAGTTGACAACCATGATTAATGTAAAAAAAAAAAAAAACATTTATATCCAACATATTGTTTTAACACAATTTTTGTTAAAACAAATTTACAGACATGTTGTTCAGATGTGAAGATATAAACTAAAAACATCTCAAATATATAATTCATTTAATTTTTATTTAAAATTACTTGAATTAAGGATAATTTGTAAAAATAAATATAGAAAGACTGAAAACAAGCGTGTGAACAGAGCCGCAGTAGATCGCGTTTGAAAAACAATTAAAAATTAATAGTAGGCTAGACAAATGCTATATAAAGAGAACGTAATGGAGGTACGCAGCAAGCTAACAGGCTTGATTAAAAAGACAGGAAAAATAATGCATTAGTGCACAAACATTCGCTGAAAACCACTGAGTACAGTGACTAAAAAACAATAATTTACTGCTGCTGTTATTAACTGCCTTTATATTTAGTGCTTCGCTTTGTAAAGACCGTTTTAATTTAATATTTCTGCGGTAGCACTATTTTAATCCATCACTTATGTTGGGAGTGAACTGATTGCGCAACCTGATGCTCGAGACGCAAAATGCAGACATCCCAAGTCTCCCGGAAGTTCTGGAAGTCACCTGCATATTGATAGCGGCTCCCTGATCCTCGCAAATTAGTTCAAACTCCCGGGATTTGAGCGCGCAAGCAAGAGCGCGCATGCGAGACAGAAGAGACTGTGCTCCAAACCGTGTAGCGCGAGCGCGCGGCAGAGCAACGGAGGGAGAGAGACCTTGTGTGTGTGCCTCATGAAGCGCGTGTAAGACAGAGAGCATCCTGATTGGCCCGTTTCAACCAATCACTAGTAAACGCTCCCCGTGACGTAAGCAGACCAACTAATCGATAATGACATTCGTTGACAACGATTTTCATAATCGATTATTATCGATTTTATCGATTAGTTGTTGCAGCCCTACTCCAGACGCTTCCTCAGCACTTGTGATTCGAACAGTAACGATGGAATCAGTTTTTCCGTATCAATTCCAAAGCGAGTCCTTTTCATGTACCCGTATTTTCCGCACTATACGGCGCACCGGATTATAAGGCGCACCTTCAATGAATGACTTATTTTAGAACATTTTTCATATATAGGGCGCACCGGATTATAAGGCGCATAAGATACTGCAGTCAAACGTTTGACTGGGTTTGCGTTATGCATCCACTAGATGTCAACAAATGTCAACAAAACAGTCCGATAAAGTCAAACTTTATTAAGCGTTCTGACAACTCCGTTCACTCCTATGGTAACGTTGTTCAAACGTTAAAGGAAAACTCCGGTCAATTTTAACATTGAGCTCATTTTTTGTAAATTTGGAGTGCTGTCAGTACAGATAACAACGACAAAAACCGGTGTTGCCTACACCGTGTTATCCTCTTTTTAAAATTTGCACCCTGTTGACTTAAACGTGACAAGTTTTAAACCTGCTTTTAGCCTCTTAACAACCTTAATGTGTCATTACAAGTGCACAGCCATGTGAGTGAACACGGTGAATCTGACTGCAGTAAATGTGAAAGATATGAATGTTTTCGGTCGAAGTCCACAGTAGGCGATTGTCGAGTGTGCGCGCGCGATCATTGGTAACTAAGCAACAGTGGAGACTCAGACTGTCAGCCGATGACGGTGCTGTGTGGTGTTCTGAGAATATCAGCTCAAATGGATAGTTCATCCGAATCAGATGTTGAACACACGGAGGAGGTTTGATCGCGCGCGCGCGAACTCGACAATCAACTACTGTGGACTTCGGCCGAAAACAGGAAGTAAATACGGGTATGTGAACCGGCTTAATAAAGACATTATTCCTGCCTTCGTGAAAGCTCGGATCACAGTGAGACTGATATATCAGCCCAGGCATCCACGATCCATTGGCAGATAGTGGCTTTAGTCGCCCGGCGCTGTCTCCCCGGCTTGGTGAACGTGTTCACCATCCATATATAAGGCGCTCCGGATTATAAGGCGCACTGTCGTTTTGTGAAAAAATTAAAGGCTTTTTAAGTGCGCCTTATAGTGCGGAAAATACGGTAAATGCAAAGTGGCTTCGCAGCGCCTGAAACCAGCGTCTTCTCGACATGACAACACAACCCAAACTCTACCAGACCTCAGCTACAACTTCAGTGTTTGTGGGCGGGTCAAAGTAGACGTTGTTTGCGGGCAGCCAGTGAAGACCATAGGTTGGCATTATGCAAATGTGTTACATTGTTACGTAGGTTTGTAACAGGAAGCGAGGCTGGAATTGCAGACTCGTTTCAGCAGTTCAGAATCGATTCTTAACTTTATTTGTCTTCCGCTTTGATTTTTAAAACTTTACAGACCTTTTACATTCACAAAAAGCTATATTACACAGTGCATGAAAGGGAATATTTGAAAAACCATGACGGTATAGTAAAAAAGGCAATTATTAAGATTGGGAACCTAAATAAAACTTGTGTTTTCACTGTGCCATAGTGCTGTAGAGGTAAATGTGGAAATAATACACATCCTTCCATCTTTTGGGGTTTCATTATGCTTCCTTTTAACTCTTCTTTCAGGTGTTTGCAGATGTGAAGAACGTTCTGGATAAAGAAGGCTAAACATGTTCACAGCAAAAATCCAAATTCTTGAAAATTGAAGGTGTCTGTTAATTGATGTCGGCAGTGCTATGCCTTCTCCATTTATCGAGATATATATATATATATATATACATTTTTACTCATTCTACAGTAAAATAGGGTTTGTTTTTGTTTTTTTTTAGACGTGAGAGAGTGTGCTTCTATCCGTGTTTGTAAGTCTGAAAGAAAAAACACTTGTGTACTTGCTCAATATTACACTGAAGAGGAACAATATTTCAGTAGAGAATCAAGCAAGCTTGAGCAATAACGCTCAGGGCGCTACTATAGGAACAAAACATGCACGCATCTGCTCTTAACTTGAAGATTATCTTCCTTGAGATGCTTAGAAAGGTCTACCATTCAGTGTATAAAACACATTTAGAGATAAGCCAAGAATAGGTTGGAAAATGCTTCTGCACTTAACCATTTCATTCTCCCAAACAAATGAGCGATTATAAATGACCAACAGGAAGTACGAGTATTTTAGTAGATTTCCAGACCTGTTTTTGTTATATATGGTGACATGTTTCTCATTGTTTTGCATAGTAATCCACAGCAGGTTCTGAGGACCTATTGCTGGCTACCCAAGAATTGAGAATTCAGTTTTAGCTGTACATTTTCTTTTGTCATATTGTGGCTGCTGTATTCCAAACACGTGCCATCTTTGCTCAGGCTGTAGATTTTAAGATGTGGGGAATGCGGGCTCATGTTTTTATTTGATTGTCTCAGCGCCTTTGGGGTCGTTCGTGAATAAACTGAATTTGTCATATTGATGTGACGGTTCAATCTGTGTTCAGATTGAGTCCGTAAATAATATAAAAAAAGTATATGATGTATCAAGGATGACAGAACCCGCTGAAGAAAATGTCTTCTGACTCTTCCAGTCGAATGCTTAATTTGAATTTTGTAAGATTCTTACCTCAATATTTTAAAGTTCTGCACTACAGGAGAAAGACAAAAGCCTTCCTGAGGTAAATGCTAGCTTCACATGGCAGGCGATAAGCTATGCATCATCAATTTTTTTGTTCACGTGAAATAAATTGAAAATGTAAAAAAAGAAAAGAACCAGCATTAGTGTCTCTTTCAAAAACACTTTTTTCCCCAGGAAACTGTTATTTGTGTATTTTGTAATGACTGATTCTTACACTAACTTTTTTAGTTAAAAATGAACAGAATTCAAATAACGAGTGCATCATCAATAATTCTTTCAAAACTTACTAAAACTTTTTTGTTTTACCCTTATTCACTATGGTAAAGCGTTTATAAGTGGTTATATATATCAGCGCTGTCGGGATGGTTTTGCTCACCTGAGCGCAAGCTCTCATTCTAATCCTGAAAGTCTTAAATACTTATATAAAGCCTTAAATACCATATTTAAATACTTTTAAGTCATTAAATTCCTTTAAATTGATAATATCAGCTGTATACCTAATTACTGTTTGTCTGACGAGTGCCCAATTTCAGAACAAAAAGTTTTGAATAAGCGCCACCTGCAAATGTAAGCACAACAAAAGCTCATGTTGTTTTCCAAAGAAAGATATTGATTACAGTGGTCTGTATCTTAAAGCTGCATCCACTGTAACTGATTTACCCACACAAATGTTAATGCTTTGATGTTAAAGCTAGAATGTCCACTAATGTGTTTATTTACAAAAAGGCATGATTTGATACATTTTATTTGTATCAAAATTTTCATAAAACTGCAATTTAAATAAATTATTTCTATAGGTTATACAAAAAAGGACTAAATAAATAGGCGGAATAAGCTGTAAACTGGTGGTGGCCTAGGGCCTTTCTCAATCTGTGTTCTTGTCTGTACTTGTGTTCTTGTGAAACGTCATCTTTTGTGGCCCAAGTACTGTCCCAATACACAAGTTTGCATTGTGGCAAGAACAGTTAAAAATCCTGGATGTGTTCTTGACACGCCCTTTTTACCGAGGATGCATCGGTTGGTAACTTGTGTGAACTTGACGGCAGAAATATCCCAGCATTCAATTCAGCATTCGAGGAAGGAGAGGCAGGTCAATACAGTATTTCGTTTTTCTACAATTACGTACACTGTTTCATCACTAAATTCACTTCTGAGAACTTTTGATGCGAGAAATCAACTGTGTAGATTTCAAATATTGGCATTTTTACGAAAATTTATGGCTAATCGAAAATGTGCTCAAACGTTTTCGGAAGTGAGAATTTCCATAAGCGCCTGCGGGTGTAACGTTAGCTATCGAGCCAACCGGCCAGTTTGCTCACAGACTCGTTCTCTTACGAGAGGTTCTCTCGTATTGCGTAAGCTAGCTTACGCTGCGGGAAAGATTCATCTTTGCTGAGAATTTGAAGCCAAAAAATTATTTCATAATTTGTATCCATTGACAACGCAGTTCCTCTGCGGCAGACCTTGAGCAGGCTAGCTAGCGGCTCATTGGTTCGCTCAGAGAGAACTGCTTAAGCCTATGGGAGAGCGGGGCTGAACCCGCTGCCAATGAGAAGCGCCCGCGCGCTCATTGCGTCATGGCCCACCAGAATGGGAGTGGCTATGGTGTACACAACAGTCTCTCCCAGGCTTATATGTTGATTCATTTCATCTTCAGCGAGCTACATGCTTCTGCTGACTTGAGAAAAGCCGTCGCCGTCGAGAAGGCATCACTCTAGCGAGCCCCTGGACCCTGAAGAAGCCGCCCGTCTTCGCCACCTTCAGCCGCCCTGCAAGCTAGCGCCATCCGACGACTGTATCCTTCTCTCATTATCTAAAAGAGCGCGAGCGTCTTTTTAAAGATGCCTCGCTTCGCCTGCGGCTCTGACCGCCATGTCATTTGCGCTCTCTGCCTGGGACTCGAGCACGCGGAACTCGCCCTCGCTGATGGAGGATGCGACTTCTGTGAGAGCCTGCCGTTGTCGTCCCTGCGGGCACGACTTCTGGTGGCTAAATCCGCTCCCGCGCCGCCTCTCTCTTCGCCGCGGAAGAAGAAACGCCGCGCCCAGAGGCCGCCGGAGCCCCCTGCGGAACCATGCGGGCCGCCGCCTCCCGCTTCCCGCTCTCCCTCCCCGCCCCAGCCGGACATACAGTTGCCGCCGAGTGGCCGCTCTGTCGCTTCCGATGACGCCGCGGAGGAGAAGGATTCCTGTTCACTGCTCGCGTCAGACAGTGAGGAATGGTCATCTCTCGGATCCACGAGAGAGTCGGCGGGGATCTGCGCCGGAATAGAGGAGGAACTAATGCGCCTCCTCTCACAGGCCGTCGAACGCCTCGGTCTCGAGTGGTCTCCTCCACCCGAGCAGGCCCCGAACCGGATGGACGGCAGCTTTTTTCATCGGCGCTCGACCCCCGCGTGCAACCGGGCCGCCCCATTCCTGCCTGAACTTCACACAGAGCTGACGAAGTCCTGGAATGCCCCACTCTCGGCCAGAATCCGCTCCGATATCTCCGCCTCGCTGCGCTCGGTGGACGGAGCCGCCGAAAAAGGTTATTCAGCCATGCCGCCCGTTGAGGACTTGGTCGCTGCCCACCTCTGCCCGCCCTCTGCTAGATGGCGCTCTTCCCCCACGCTTCCTTCGAAAGCTTGCAGAGCGACCTCGAGCTTTCATGCTCGCGCCTATGCCGCCGCCGGTCAGGCCGCCGCGGCGCTGCATTCTATGTCTGTCCTCCAAGTGCGACAGAGCGATATTCTCCGTGAGTGGGCCGAGAGCGGTAGAACCCCCCCCTCCGCTGTCACGGATCTGAGAAGTGCTACGGACCTCGCCCTTCGCGCCACTAAAGCCGCCGCACAAGCTCTGGGGAGATGCATGGCCAGCCTTTGTGTATCCGAGAGACACTTATGGCTCACGCTCGCCGACATGGGAGATTCTGAGCGCGCCGCGTTTCTTAACGCGCCCCTCTCCCCGACGGGCCTTTTTGGATCTGCTGTCACGGGGATCGTCGATCGCTTTTCCGAGGTCCAGAAAGCCACTCAGGCCATGAATTTGTTTCTGCCCCGCCGCACTAGCTCTTCCGCAGGCCGCTCTCGCGAGCCTCCTGCCAGAGCCCCACCACAGCGCCCTCCTCCGCAGACTCAAACAGCCCAGCGCAGACAGGGCGGCCGCCCTCGCTCTCGCTCTGACAGCCGCCGCAGACCGCCGCCCCCACGGGGTCCGCGACCCAAGATCACGCTGAAGCCTGATCATCAGAAGTCTGCCTAGCACAGTTAAGAAAACGACGGCGCTCTCCCGCTGCGGCCGGACCGCCGTCAAAGCTTCACCCTCTGCCAGTCCCCGTTGTTTCGCCGACTGCTGTAGTGTTTACCGCCACAAACAAGCCGGTGTCCCAGCCCGCTTGCGAGCGACAAAAAGCCGTTTTTACGGCTACCCAGAGAAATCTCAAAAAGAGAAAATATGCCAGTTGTGTAGAAAATGTGCCCACAATCATGTGTTCACCCATACACACAAGCATAACATATCCCGTGTCTCTCTCAGAGCCCCCCACATAAAGCGGGCACAGCCCGCTCTAGTATCAGAGAACATAAACACGCCCACGAGCTCATGCGCGTGTCCCCTCTCTGCTCGCTCTGTTTCACGGCCCATAGACTCCTCTCTGAGTGTAAGTCCCGTTGCCACACACATTCAAAGCGCGCCCACACACTGTGTCCAGCCCGCTATGTGCAGCAATCAGGGCGATATAGCCATTCGGCCACTAGCCGCATGCTCCAAAGTGTGGGAAGCCATTCCAGGCATTTCCCCGTGGGTCCTAAGCATTATAAAGAACGGCTATCTGCTACAGTTTCGCCGCCGCCCGCCTCGTTCGCGCGCTCGGCTCGAATCTACTGTCAGCCCGCTGGCCGCCAACACGCTCCGCTCAGAAATTGCGACGCTGTTGCAAAAGGGCGCTATAGAGAGAGTCCCGCCATCTATGACCGAGTCGGGGTTTTACGGCCGTTATTTTCTGGTTCCCAAGAAAGACGGCGGCCTCAGACCGATTTTAGATCTCAGGTTTTTGAACAAAGTGCTCATGAAGAGACCGTTCAAGATGCTCACTATCAGGAAACTCCTCGCGCAGGTGGGCCAGGGGGACTGGTTCATCTCTCTAGACCTGAAAGACGCCTATTTTCAGATCCAGATAAATCCCCGTCACAGGCCATTCTTACGTTTCGCCTTCGAGGGTCATGTGTATCAATACGCCGTTCTCCCGTTCGGCTTATCCCTGGCGCCCCGTACCTTCACAAAGTGTATGGATACGGCGCGCGCCCCCCTGCGGAGCCAGGGGCTGCGCATATTGAATTATCTGGACGACTGGCTGATTTTGGCTCAATCACGGACGGAGCTTCTGTCGCACCGCGCAGTTCTCCTCGACCATCTGAAAACGCTGGGCCTCTCTGTCAACTGGACAAAGAGCTCCCTTCAACCCAGTCAATCAATTTCCTTCCTAGGAATAGATTTGAACTCGGTCACAATGACGGCTCGCCTGTCTACACAGCGCGCGCAGTGTTCAGCGACTAGCCGCCTCTTTTCAGATGGGCACCCGCACACCTCTGAAAACTTTTCAGAGGATGCTGGGTTACATGGCCTCAGCCTCCGCTGTGCTTCAGCTGGGCCTTCTGCACATGCGCCCGCTTCAGCTCTGGTTAAAAAGCCGTGTACCCCACCGCGCGTGGAACACGGGCCGCCAGCTGATCAGGGTTACGCAGACATGTCTCACGGCACTGCAGCCATGGACAGTAGCAGAATGGTTTCGGCGAGGCGTCACGATGGGGACCTTTTCCCGCCGAAAGGTCATCTCGACAGACGCATCCAACACGGGTTGGGGTGCGGTCTGCGAGGGCTCACCGGCCTTCGGCCATTGGTCGACTCAGAAAAGCCCCTTGCACATAAACTGTCTGGAAATGCTTGCGGTCGAGAACGCGCTCTCGCGCTTCCTCCCGCTCATTCGGGGACACCACGTCCTGATCCGTTCAGACAACATGGCTGTGGTCTCCTATCTCAACCGTCAGGGCGGTGTCAGATCCAGGAATCTCTTCCTGCTGACACACCGCATTCTAGTTTGGTCTCAGAGCCGCCTGCTCTCGTTTAGAGCGACGCATGTGCCGGGCCATCTGAACGACGGTCCAGACATACTGTCCAGGAACCTCATCTCCACAGGAGAATGGTGCCTGAACACACAAACGGTCCAAATACTGTGGCGGCTATTCGGCAGAGCAGAAGTGGACCTCTTCGCGTCAGAAGAGAACGCTCACTGCCCAATATTTTTTTCAAGGAGCAAGGACGCGCTAGACCAGGAATGGCCTCGCCGCCCGCTCTATGCATTCCCTCCGATCGCTCTGCTACCGCAGGTAATTCAGAGGATCAGGGACACACGCCACTCGGTGCTCCTCATAGCCCCGCGCTGGGAGAGTCAGACTTGGGTTCCGGAGCTCACTCAGCTGTCACAGACAGCCCCGTGGCCCATCCCAGTCAGAGCAGATCTCCTCTCTCAAGCTCGCGGCACGATCTGGCACCCCCATCCACAGCGCTGGGCGCTCCATGCATGGGTGATCAACGACTATTCGTCGATTTGCCAGAGGGAGTAAGAAACACTATCATACAGGCTAGAGCACCTTCCACGAGAAGGCTCTATGCGTCTAAATGGTCTGTGTTCTCAAAATGGTGCACCGACAAAAATCTGGACCCACGGTCGTGCGAGGTGCCGTCTTTGCTTGTTTTCCTTCAAGAGATGCTGGACAAGGGCAGGTCCCCCTCCACTCTCAAGGTTTACGTGGCAGCCGTCGCGGCGTTCGCGGAACCCCGACGCGTTCAGTCCCTGGGCAAAGACGAGTTAGTCATCCGCTTCCTCAGGGGAGCTAAGAGGATGAACCCTCCGCGCCCCCCTTCGGTTCCTATCTGGGATCTTTCTATAGTTCTCGAAGCTATGAAAGCACCCCCGTTCGAACCGCTCGAGTCTGTGGACCTAAAATACCTCTCGCTCAAAACCGTTTTTCTGACGGCTCTGTCCTCAGTAAAACGCGTGGGGGATCTTCACGCGCTCTCATCCAGCGCCGCGTGTCTTGAGTTTGGACCGAATGATTCTGTCGTCATTCTCAAACCTAGGCATGGCTATGTCCCGAAGGCGATTGGTACCCCGTTCAGGGCTCAGATTATTTCCCTATCGGCTCTACCTTCATCCGATAGTGAGCGCGACGCCAATCTCCTCTGCCCGGTGCGGGCCTTGCGATTGTACACTACGCGCGCTGCCGCGTTCAGACGCGCTGAGCAGCTTTTCGTGTCGTTTGGGGGGCGCACCAAGGGTCTGGCCGCCTCAAAACAGACGCTGTCTAGATGGATAGTGGACGCGATTGCCTCTGCTTACGCATCTAAATGCCTGCCCTGCCCTCTGGGCATCAGGGCTCACTCCACTAGAGGCATGGCCTCATCGTGGGCATGGTCCTGTGGAATTTCCATTCATGACATTTGTGTGGCCGCGGGATGGGCCTCCCCGTCCACCTTTGTCAGATTTTACAACTTGGAAGTTCCCGCCTTGCAGGCAAAAGTACTAGCCGTCTAACGATCAGCTCCCTAAGAAGCTGCATTACTGGGAGTCCCTCACACAACCGGTTCGCCCCTTGTGCTCCCCTTAGATGCTTATGTATACACTTCATGTGCCCGCTCTGCCGGCCTCATATTACATTCACTCCACGTTAAGAATCCCCCGGTATCTCCCCGGGATTCATGAGTGGATTCATAGCGCGCACGGCGTTGACCAGGTGTTCCCGCAGCGTAAGCTAGCTTACGCAATACGAGAGAACCTCTCGTAAGAGAACGAATCGGTTACCTAACGTAACCTCGGTTCTCTCTAGATGAGGGAACGAGTATTGCGTTCCCGGCCGTGCTTGCGCTACTAGCGTTTCGCTTCACGCTGAAATAAATCAACATATAAGCCTGGGAGAGACTGTTATATACAGCATAGCCACGCCCATTCTGGCGGGCCATGACGCAATGAGCGCGCGGGCGCTTCTCATTGGCAGCGGGTTCAGCCCCGCTCTCCCATAGGCTTAAGCAGTTCTCTCTGAGCGAACCAATGAGCCGCTAGCTAGCCTGCTCAAGGTCTGCCGCAGAGGAACTGCGTTGTCAATGGATACAAATTATGAAATAATTTTTTGGCTTCAAATTCTCAGCAAAGATGAATCTTTCCCGCAGCGTAAGCTAGCTTACGCAATACTCGTTCCCTCATCTAGAGAGAACCGAGGTTACGTTAGGTAACCGATTCGTTTTACCCCACAGTCAAGAGACCATTGCAGCCTGGCTGTTATCGTCAATAATTCTCGTTATGTTTGGGTACTGCAGACGGTGTCTGTGCGGGGGTATTATTGCGCAATACCAGCAAGAACACATCGTCTCAAACTGTCAGCAGCGTTCTGTGAGCTCGTCACCTTGTGAGTTCATTCTTCCAAGAACAACTAGCAAGAGCGTTCTCCCCAAGAACACAAGTCCGTTCTTTGCATTCTTGGTTTTGAGAAACACCCAAAGTCTATGAAAGGGACGTACACCCCTCTAAGCTCACAGAAATGGTTAGACCCAAGTCTTCAGCAGCCAATGACACTGACCCGTTCGAACGGATTTTTAACGCGTATTTACGTGTATTTCAAATATCAACGCGTGAAATACGCGTTGATTGTGTCACGTGTATTTCACGCGTAAAATACGCGTTGAAATTCACGTGTTTTTGACTCTCTTGGCCTTCCATAGTTGTACAACGAGTGAGAAAGTTTGACATATGGAGCAGCTAAATCTTCAACCTCTGGGAATCACGCGTTAAAAATAAAACGCGAAATTGCTGGCAAAAAGAGAATGCAACAGAGCTTGTAATAAAACGAATCAAAATGGCTTGGCTTTTTGGAGATGGCGAGACCTGAGGGATTTGAAATGTTGTAAAAACACGGAGATAGCACTTGAATGCACTTCTATTACTCAACAGGTGAGTATGGTATTTTATTGAACAGATTGCCATATGTAGCTCTTTAACAGAGTTCATGGTAAAGCATTATAAGATCTACTGTGATGGGTCATTTTCATCCGCACAGTCACGCAGAGCCGAAGCACAACTAAAATAATGTTGTTCTCCCGCAAAATACATAGTTTTGTTATTTTACTGTTAGAGGGACGTTAGTGTACCTTTAAACTATTGCTTTTAAGTTTGTTAATTCCTGGTAACTAAATAAGTTATTATTATTTCTACAATGTCACAAAACATTTGTAATTCATAACTTTGTAATACTTTTATTATTAACATACTACCGTTAAAAAAGTCTGAAGTATGTTTTTTAAAAGAAATTGATTTTTTTTTTTACAAATAGTAAGCAGTTTTTTATATTGATAATAATGAATGTTTCTTGAGCATCAAATCATCATATTAGAATGATTTCTGAAGGATCATGAGACACTGAAGACTGGAATCATGATGCTGAAAATTCCCATCACAGCAATACATTATATTGTAAAAATATATTAAGATAGAAAACAGTTATTTTAAGTAGTAATATTTCACAATATTACTAAAAGTTTTCTTTTCGAAGTTGATCATTTGTGTTCTTTTTTTTATGAGCTTGACCAGGTTGATGTATAAGTGTAATGAAATACTGATGATTATTTGTCTATCAAGAAACTTCAGTTAACTTGACATCACAAAGATGAAACCACTTTGCACTCATTTGTTTGGTATCAAATATTTAATTGCAAGGACATTTTGCCCTCTAGTACCAAAACAACTGTACAAACACATGTAAATACAATATAATTAGACAAACAGAGCTTCTTTAAATGTACCACATTGATAAAACGTTTTTTTTTTGTACCAATCGTCCCCTTGTATATTTTATATACAGTGCATAGTTTGCCAGGAGGGGGAGTGAAATAGCATTCTTAAAAAAATAAATAGAGATAAAATTATGTTCTTACACTAAGAATTTGCAGTGTGTATTGACAAGAACTTAAGTACAATGCTTGGAAGTCAGTATTTACATAATTATTAAAATCTTAAACCATCATGAGACCCGGCTGAAATCATGAAGTGTGAACCAGAACGTGCTGGTGCACTAGGTCCTTCATATTTCAGAAATAATATGTAACTTCACCATACGAGTAAACATTGGCATCACAAAGATCCATGCAGTATCAGCGTCTGTATTTTCTGATAGCTTTTCTTGTGGCAGTACCAGTAAAGGATCCGGTCTCCTTCAGCATAGCTTTACTTGAAAAGGTTTTTGTGGAGTCTCTGAACAGTTCGAGGTTTTCTCAAGAGGTCGCGAGGGAGCCGACGGGCAGGTCTGTTCTGCTTCTGCGGTGCTGGATCTTGGTGTTGGTGACGGCACCGTGCTTCTGCCGCAGATGCAGACGCAGCTGACTCTTGTGACGGAAGTGCAGGTCACAGTTCTCACACTGAAATCAGAAGCCAGGACCATTTCATTAGGACATTAAATGCTTCTTCGGTTTTAAGTTGACATTCAATGAGGACGTGAAGAAACTAGTGGTCAACCGATATATATCGCCTCGGCCAATATTTGCTATGTTTTAATTATCAGCATCAGCCATTAACATTGGAAGCCCATTTCCACCACATAAGAATTTTTTTTTTTTTACAATAAGGACTCGTTTGTTAAAATTAATGTATTAACTAACAGAACTAACAAAGAGCAATACATTTGTTACAGTATTTATTAATCTTTGTTAATAAAAATGTTCATATTAACTCCATTAACTAATGTTAACAAACTTTTGATTTGAATAATGTATAAGTAAATGTTTAAATTAACATGAACTAAGATTAATAAATGCTGTAGAGGTAGTTCATTCTTAGTTCATGTTAACTAAAGTAGTTAACTAATGAAACCTTATTGTAAAGTGTTACCATTATAATTGATAAAAAGTTGAAAATTTTTCATATTTGAGATGAAAAATCGAAATTCTGACTCAGAAAATTTCAAAACTATGACATACTAAATAATGTAATCATAAGTTAATCATGACTGACATAAAAAGTTGAAATGATCGGATTAATCTAAGTATACTAAGATTGACATACTTTTTATGAAAAGTCAAAAGTCATAATTAAGACAGTCATTTCATCATTTCAACTAAATATAATAATAGTATGCTAAGACTTTTAGTATTTATTAACTAACACTAGTAAGACTTTATACTTAGTATGTCATAATTATGACTTTTAAAGTCAGATTTTCTGTATTACCAAAGCATGATTTTTTTTTCTTATGTGGCCGAAATGGTCTTCCATAGTTTGTGTTGTTTGGCTGCTAAGTGTCGGACTTTTATTTTGACGGCACCTGAGGTCAGATGCACAGGAACCCTCATTCTTCGTCTTCAATAGTTTTAAATATTAGACATTGCAACATCTACAAACAGTTTCAAACTATACTATAAAACGCGACATTTCAAACTGTACTGCTAATATTCAGTTGGCAGCTACTCTGCACTGTGTTTATCAACGTTTGAAGTGTTTGTTGATGATGAGAAAGTGCTCACATGATAAGGCTTCTCGCCCGTGTGTATCCGTAAGTGGCTCTTCAGCGTCTGCAGGTGGCGGAAGCGTGTGCCGCAGATGTCACACGGGTACGGTTTCTCTCCAGTGTGGATCAGTACGTGAGCCCTCAGATGAGCCACCTGGGAAAGCAGAAAGAAGAAGATAAAGCGCCTCAGATTGACACGAAGGCTTCTCTACAGAAACGGTCTGGGAGTTTGTTATTACCTGGACAAAGCGAGAGCCGCAGGTTTCACATTTGTACGGTTTTTCCCCAGAGTGGATCCGTGAGTGTGTCTTCAGATTGGCAGGCCTGTTGAACTGAGCTCCACATACGTTGCAGCGGTACGGTTTCTCTCCTGTAATTATAAACCATTTGGAGAATGTTCACACGGCAACACACAGGTTTTAGAGAGCGTCGCTGAAGAATATTCTTTGTTTGTTTACCTGTGTGGACGGACTTGTGGCTAGCTAGGTTTCCTTTATAGCGGAACATGGCTTGGCAGCGGTCACACTTGTATGGTTTTCCGTCCTGCAGCCACTGTGGCTTCTCTGCGTCAGATTCGCTCTTGGACTCGCACTCGCTACAATAGAGTCTGTCCCTCTCTGCCAAGACAAGCAAAACAGTTATTAGCCTTTGTCCACACTGCACACATTTCAGGTTTTTAGTGATGAAATCAGATCTGTTTGTTCAGACTGTGACTTCAGTATCCGATATATATCTATATCTACATCTGTTATGATACTAATGATCTAGGCGGCGTCAATAAGATGCCAAAAGACTTTTATCCACAACATTTAAGAATAGCAGGCGTAGTTGTTGGCTGTAGTAATGGCAGTACTGCTGTATCTTTCACATTCATGCATATGCTGCTAAATATGATTATATTATATAAAACATTTAAACATTTTAATATTGAAATAGGTATTTAATCACAAATATATATAACAAACATAAAATGTAATGCCTAAATATGAATGCATATTATTATTTTTAACTATTGTAATATTTAAATAGACATTGCATATATACATCACTAATATGTCAAATGCATAAATATTAATAAATTAGTGCTGTCACATCGCATCTAACATAAAAGCTTTTGTTGATATATGTGCGTATATATATTATTACATTTATATATATATGTGCATGTATAAATATACATATACACAAACATACATAATATATATTAAAATATAATAATATATATCCACACATATATTATATAAACAAAAGCTTTTATGTTAGATGCGATTAATCATGATTAATCGATTTGACAGCACCATAATAAATATTATCCTTAACTACTAAAATATTTTTATATTTCAATTAACATTTCATATTACATATATAAAACTCAGAAACAGACTGGGGGCCCAAAGATTTATAAATAGTTAATAATAATAATAATATTTAGGTAATATATTACATTTCACATCCAATGTACTATTCCTAAATATTAATAAATGATTCTCATTATTATAGTTATCATCTCCCCCCAAAAATGGCTAAGAGAAGAAGCCAAATCTGACATGACAACCTATTCCACCCTAGATTATGAAAAAACAAAAAGTTAATTTAATCTGACCATTCTGACTGACACATGCTTCCAAAATATGAATGTCTTTTAACCCAAATTTCAACCCATGTATAAATGCTGTTTATGCCCAGAAACATTTCAAAATGTAGAAAACAAGTGCATTCACCAGGTCCTGTGGGTCTCAAGCTGCTCTCCTCTGTCAAAGTGTTGGGAAGTGAAGAGCCACGCTCCTCTTTTTTGATGCAATCGTCTGCAGATCTGCAAACACATGACACCACGTTTACAAACACTGCGTCAGATGCTAATGCTTGCGCTGGCATCCAAGACTTTCGCCACACTGACCTTCTATCCGTGATGAGTTGCTCCTCAAAGTTCTTGTTGGTGGATTCTGCAACTACGTGGGACGGAGTCAGTGAGCTGCCGTCAGTCGCTCCATCGGTGGAGTTCAGCACGATGAACTTGTACTTCTTCCAGTTGTGGGCCTTCGGGTGAGTGATGGAGCTGGGAGGAGACGCCGCCCCTCGACTGCAGCTGCTGGACTCTGCAGGGGAGTTGGGTTGGCAGTCTGATCTGAGAGGGCTCTCGGGACCGCTGCTGTTCTCCACCTCTGAGTGCAGAATCGGAGCCTTGCGGTCTCCCTCCGCTTCAGCTCGAGCTGAACGAAAGAGCACAGATGGACGGGTCCTCTCTTCCCCTGCATTAGTCATGGTCCTGGTGGAGTGCTGTTGAAGGGCTATTACGCCGGTCTTGGGCATCTGCCTGAGGGGGTTCGGGGTGTTGGAGGTCTCCAGCGGGAGAGGTAGATGTCTGTAGAAGCGAGTTGGGCTCTCTGTGGAAGTGCTGACTGCGTAGTGCAGGTTGGGGGGACCGTAAGTGCTGAGGTTCACACTGGATTGGCTGTTCAGGGCATCTCGGAGGATGAAGGGAGTTAAACAGCCGTGATTAACCAGCATCTCCGCTCTGGTCTGCTTCACACACAAGCCCCTTTGAGAAAAACAGTAGAAGTTGAGTCAGTGATTCAGTCCAAGATAAAGAAATTGTAAATCTCATTTAAAACATTTGTGTCAAGTTCTGTGATCTTCGTATTTGTGTTGGTTTCATATTGGTTTGCAAAACTTTTATACCATTTTCAACAAGTCCAATTTCCATCTATCTATCTGAATAGAATTTGAATTTCGATATATAGAAATTAAAAACAAATTCATCATAATAAAGTGAATTGCTTTTTAATGAATGAATGAATCAAATATTAAGTAGAATAATTTAACAGACAAAAATGAGCATTATACCATTGGTCCAGTTACAAATCACATGCCTTTGAACAGACTATCTTCTCTAGTCTGTGCTTGAATGTTTTTGTGACGTTGTAAGCACTCACCTGGAGTCTATATACCTCTGGCATGTGTCCATCACATGGTCCATCTGTAGGTATGTGGCTGTGTTGAGGGTGGCAATAATGAAGTTATCTTTAAGAGTGAGGCAAGACGTATACATGAACTCCAGCAGTATGGCGAAGCCATCGGGGTCCACCTTTGGATCTAAACTTATGAAGCTCAAGTTGCTCTTATGAGTGTCTGCAAACATGGAGTAGAAGAGGCCGCTGGGAAAAGATAAGATGGAATACAGATGTCACTTACTGTGCATCATGCCAAATATTTGTTATTTCAAATCATGGCACTGACCTGCATGCCATCAGAACTGTCTTATGGGCCTGGAATTGCTGCCCACCGACCACAATGGTGACATCAGTCAGGATGTTTCTGCTGCGGAGCCGGTTGAAGTTGAACAGCACGTCACCGGCATGGCGAGTGAATTTAACGCAGCCGTCTGCTGCACTTGACATTTTGTTCACCTGCACAGAAATAGTTCAAAATATAGTAAAACATTTGCAAAAAAGAATACATCTCTATCTAAAATAAATAAATAAATAATAATAATAAAAAAACTAAATCACACCATAACATTTTTACATTTGAATGTCAGTGGTAATGTTATATCTAATAAGCTATATAAAATCTTCCCGTCAAAACTGAAGACGAGCCAGTTTAGTCAGATGAACACTAGATGTCCACAGAGTTACAGTTGCAAACTGAAGGTATGACCAACTTTCACATTAAGCCTAAACATATTTTGTAAATATACCTTGTGAAATGTATAACAGTTCGTGATTGTGTCCCTGTAGTCATCGTTTGCTTTGAGTTTGTTTATTTAATTTGATTTTAGTTAGCTCTTTAGTGAAAAACAGGACACATACATTCTTTCAAATATTTTAACTCTCCCGAAACTACTCTATTCAGACTTTCATATTAGCTAAACGCACTTCACTTGAGAGACCGATGGCAAAGTGTGTAGACGAATCCTAGTGAGCTGCTTACCTATACAGCATGACTGGCCATCACAGGGGCAAACAATCTTAAACGGCATTATTTATGCTTTTATATCACTGTATCGCCATAACTACGTCTTTAAGCATTTTATAGCATTTTCAGAAATGTAGCATTACGACAAACATCACTCTATAGTGAGCATAGGCTGTATGATTTAAGACACCAGCATGATGCAAGCATGAAGTTGTTCCCGTCACTGACACTTGTTGAACAGCGAAGGTGCATGTTGGTATTAATCAAACCTCGTGGTATATTGACGGTTTATTAAATGTTATGACGGTATACAAATAAAAGCCAAATGAGTTATGCACTGGTTACAGGTGTTTAGAGTAAGTTAAACACCAGGGGTTTCGGATTGATACATGAATGTTCAGTGAAATAGAGATTGCAGTACACATACAGTAAATAATCTGAAAGCTGAAAGCTGACGCAATCGTAACAGAACATCAAATAATTATGTTCGCGTGCTGACAATTAACCATTGACCATTTATTACATTTTCCATTAAATGGATCATTTTGAGACTTCACCAGCATATAATCACATGACAAATTCAGAGAAAACCTGTAAAAAAAATATTCTAGAAATACAGTGATTATGACATAATTGAACATGTATGTCTGCTGTTTTATCACCACACAGACTGTCTACTCTAGGCAATAAACTTAGTTTCCCACCCATATAAAGTTGCGTAAACCTGTCGTTATCATACACTCCCGAGTGAGCTTTCTAAATCTACCGAACATCACTGAATTTAATGTAACAGATTGAAACTGACATATGAGACGAATAAGATTAGTTTACACGCAATTAGGCCGACAACAGTGGAGTTGCGTAATTAACTCGACACGTCTAAATACAAGAAAGTAGTCTGGTTTAAAACAATATAAAATTAACTGTAGAAACAGCTCGTTTCTCTAGAGCGTCTGTTGTTTAGTCTAGACCTTTTGCTAGATAGAAAAGAGTCACCTGGTGTGTTTTTCTTGGAAGAGTCCGGCGAAGACAGTTCTTGGAAGAACTCTTCTGAGAAGACGCAGCTCGTAATTCTCGGAATTTTACCAGTGGACTGAACCACTGACACACAAGAGGGGGGATCAGACCTCTCGGGCTTCACGCTTCTGTAGTGCTGAACAACTGCTTACCAGAAATATCATAAAAACCATTCTGAATGCTCTACAACTAACATGCGTACTTCGTTTCATTGCTTTTAGTAGCTTAGTTATTAACGCCGTTGGAGTAATTACAATCCGCTTGTCTGTATGTAGTGGATAGCTCCGGGGACGCGGTCATGATCTACGTCACTCTTGCCACCCTTTCACTGCTGTACAGATTCCTCGCGATATGACCCCTCCATTAATGTATATGTATATGTCATGTTGAATTAACACAGCTATTGAATGTATAGTAATCATAGGCTACATTTGAGTCTTATGAAGTTATCAGACAGATGTACAAAAAGCAATCTATTTTTGTCTGTCCGAGATAAGTTTCTCATGACGTCAGATGTGTAAAAAGGCAACATTGTTGACATTAGATATTTGTTTTTCATCAATTCTAGATTATTACCTATGCCAATACCACAATTTACGTTTTATTTTACATTTTTATGTTTATAGCCTATATTGTTTATATATTTGTGTTTACTGTACATAGGTGTATTTAATGAGTATTATATATATATATATATATATATATATATATATATATATATATATTCATTTGCATATTTCATAAACCTCAAACTTGTCTTTGACCCTTTGCATTATCTAAAGATATGTTAGCTAGATAAATTACTAAAACTGAAAGATGAACCTCGAATAAATAATTAATAAAGAATTGTTCTCTGCATTCATTTTCAGGGAATATAAAAATGCACTTCAATTTACAGACAATTGTGTAATATAATGGCAAACAGTGCTCTTTGATACTTTAAGCAGGTGTTATTTCTAAATTTCTGAATTCCATTTTTGGGTGAACTTCCCCTTTAATATTACTATTTTCATGCTCTCTAAAGTAACATCACAAGATCTGGGAGTTCACAGATTGATTACAGCAGATTTCAGATGGCAATTGAGGCAAATACTCTCTCTCTCTCTCTCTCTCTCTCTCTCTCTCTCTCTCTCTCTCTCTCTCTCTCTCTCTCTCTCTCTCTCTCTCTCTCTCTGTCTCTCTCTGTCTCTCTCTGTCTCTCTCTGTCTCTCTCTCTCTCTCTCTCTCTCTCTCTCTCTCTCTCTCTCTCTCTCTCTCTCTCTCTGTCTCTCTCTCTCTCACACACACTCATAAGCTCATGACTGCTTCAGCAGTGTAACTTAACACTCAGCAAAGCAGCTATTCAGAACCATAACGCAGAGCACACAGATCTCAACACTATTTATACATCAGTCCCAAAGAGGTACTGGAAACACACACATTAGGTTGTAAACTCTCTTCTAACACATTCAGGTACTCCAAGAGCAAAGCAAAAAAATAAATTCAGAAATAATAGTCTATTATGAATTCCCTTATGTGATAAGAGGTCCAAAGGCCAAAATACAAACAACAACAACAACAAAAAAAAACATTTGTAATAAAAGTATCGAGTACTGAAGTTACAACAGGTCTGATGAATGCAAATTTGTTATTTTTGTTGTTTCATGCATGATTTGACATGTATTTAGCTTACTTTATTTGTTCGAAATTGTATAATTTGACTTTTTATAGCTTAAAATAATTACCTTATATAATTTTTCAACAAATTCAATATAATATTTAAAATACTTAAATGATTTAAGAATAAATATTTAAGGTTTTAAATAATTTACATTATGCTAATTAAGACTATAAATTAGCTCAAAAATCAGTGTTGGGTAATTTAATCTAAAAAGAAATGACATCTTCACCAGTGTAATTAGATTGCCGTACTAATACTCTCTCTTTAAAAAAGTATTGGATTACTATACTTTCTAAATCCCATATCAACCTCAACCAGTTGAACAATACAAAGATAGATGTAAAACTGCTCTTCTCTCTTTTTTTTTTTCAAATAAATTATATAAAATTGCATAAATTATTATTGAACTGACCAAAGTATTTAAAGGGAGAAGGTCACGTTAAAATTTGTATCATTAGCCGGTAAGTTTTTATGTTAAATGCACTTGTTTTGATGTTAAATTGGTCTTTACAGTAAATAATGCAATTACATCAAGTATTACAATTAAGTAAATAACAGAAAAATTAAGAGTAATCCCTTTACTTTTTAAAGAGAAAAGTAATTAAATTACAGCAAAGTGCTCAAGTTACGCATTACACCCAACAGTGTACGTAATCATACTAGGCAATATACGGCCACTTTATGATACACCTGTTCACTGCTTGAAAATCCAAATATCTAATCAGCCAATTACATTGCAGCGACTCAATGCGTTTAGGCATGTAGACATGGTCAGGATGATCTGCTGAAGTTCAAACTGAGCATCAGAATGGGGAAGAAAGGTGATTCAGTGACTTTGAATGTGACAGGGTTGCTGGTGCCAGACGGGCTGGTCTGAGTATTTCAGAAAGTGCTGATCTATTGGGATTTTCACACACAACCATCTCTAGGGTTTACAGAGAATGGTCCAGAAAAAGAGAAAATATCCTGTGAGCTGCAGTTCTGTGGGAGAAAATGCCTTGTTGATGCCAGAGGTCAGAGGAGAATGGCCAGGTTCAGCTGATAGAAAGACAACAGAAACTCAAATAACCACTCGTGACACCCGAGGTCTGCAGAAGAGCATCTCTGAACATGTTGAACCTTGAAGCAGAAGAGCTACAACAGCAGAAGACACCAGTGACACTCCTGTGAGATAACAACAGCAAACTGAGGCTACGATTCACACGGGCTCAACAAAACTGGACAAGAAATGTTTGGAAACCGTTGCCTGGTCTGATGAGTCTTTCAGAGGGTTGGGCCAGAATTTGGCATAAACAACATGAAAGCATGGATTCATCCTGCCTTGTATGTTTAATGGTGTGGAGGATATTTTTTTGGCACACTTTGGGTCCCTCAGTACCAATTTGAGCATCCTTTTCAGTTCTTCACAATTGCTAAGACACTTTTCCTGAAACCTTCACCCATTTTCTCAAATCCAATTTTTCAAACTAAACTCACAAAACCATTGACTCTTCTGGCAGTCAAGCAATTGCTTCAAAACCATTTCATTTCACCTGTACTCAAAATCAAGCAATGCTTTCAGATCATACACACATGAGTCAATAAAATATATATATATATATATATATATATATATATACACTCACCGGCCACTTTATTAGGTACACCTGTCCAACTGCTCGTTAACACTTAATTTCTAAGCAGCCAATCACATGGCGGCAACTCAGTACATTTAGGCATGTACACATGGTCAAGACAATCTCCTGCAGTTCAAACCAAGCATCAGTATGGGGAAGAAAGTTGATTTGAGTGACTTTGAACGTGGCATGATTGTTGGTGCCAGAAGGGCTGGTCTGAGTATTTCAGAAACTGCTAATCTACTGGGATTTTCACGCACAACCATCTCTAGGGTTTACAGAGAATGGTCCGAAAAAGAAAAAACATCCAGTGAGCGGCAGTTCTGTGGGCGGAAATGCCTTGTTGATGCCAGAGGTCAGAGGAGAATGGCCAGACTGGTTCGAGCTGATAGAAGGGCAACAGTGACTGAAATAACCACTCGTTACAACCGAGGTATGCAGCAAAGCATTTGTGAAGCCACAACACGCACAACCTTGAGGCGGATGGGCTACAACAGCAGAAGACTCCACCGGGTACCACTCATCTCCACTACAAATAGGAAAAAGAGGCTACAATTTGCAAGAGCTCACCAAAATTGAACAGTTGAAGACTGGAAAAATGTTGCCTGGTCTGATGAGTCTCGATTTCTGTTGAGACATTCAGATGTTAGAGTCAGAATTTGGCGTAAACAGAATGAGAACATGGAACCATCATGCCTTGTTACCACTGTGCAGGCTGGTGGTGGTGGTGTAATGGTGTGGGGGATGTTTTCCTGGCACACTTTAGGCCCCTTAGTGCCAATTGGGCATCGTTTAAATGCCACGGCCTACCTGAGCATTGTTTCTGACCATGTCCATCCCTTTATGGCCACCATGTACCCATCCTCTGATGGCTACTTCCACCATGTCACAAAGCTCTAATCATTTCAAATTGGTTTCTTGAACATGACAATGAGTTCACTGTACTAAAATGGCCTCCACAGTCACCAGATCTCAACCCAATAGAGCATCTTTGGGATGTGGTGGAACGGGAGATTCGCATCATGGATGTGCAGCCGACAAATCTGCGGCAACTGTGTGATGCCATCGTGTCAATATGAACCAAACTCCCTGAGGAATGCTTCCAGCACCTTGTTGAATCTATGCCACGAAGAATTGAGGCAGTTCTGAAGGCAAAAGGGGGTCCAACCCGTTACTAGCATGGGGTACCTAATAAAGTGGCCGGTGAGTGTATATATATATATATATATATATACTGACTGTATGCACTCCAAGTATAGCATTGCACTGAATATTGAATAGTATAGGCCTATTGAATGTCTATATATTCAGCACTTGCATACTTTAAAAACTGCAAAAGCCAAAGGGGTCAAATAAAACTCTAAATGAAAAGCACGTTACGGTACACTCAAATACTGTACGTTGTGTAACTGGAAAATCAAGGTCAATGCGAGATTGATTCGGCTTCAGCATCATGTCTTCCTGCTGGCTCTGGCCTGAGGACTTTGTCCACATCACATTCACAGGTGATGTTGTTTCTTGCCAAACAAAGGAAAAAACCTTCAAGTCTGACACATCCAGCACTTTGACAACACTGTCCACACCTTGCTCTTCCTCGTCCTCATCCTCTCCCTCTCAGATTGTTTCCATCACTGTGTCCATCTATGCACTCTGAACTGGCTCATATTTCATACAGTTGGTTTGATCACATTATAAGAAATAAGTGTGAACGATTTCAAACGGTTGTCTGTCAACGATGACAACTGTGTTGTGGTTGTGTTTACCTTTTGCCTCTTTTGCCTGATTAGTGTTGTTTTGCGATACAAAT